AATTCACTTTGCAGTGTGTTCTGTGAAGCGCTTTGGGATGTCCTCCCGACGTGAAAAGCGCTACATCAAATGCAAGGATTATTATTATTATTATTGGGCACCACAACTTGAACTGCATTGAAACATTGTTGTCTTTGAAGAAAAATGAGACCAGCGTGAAGGCCTTGAGCTTCTTCTCAGTGTGGCCCAACAGGACAGTGTCCACCACAACCTCCAGATGAAAATCAACAATTGGGACAGCTAACCCTCGTAACTTCCAATCAATACCTAAAAGGCCCTCCCTCAAGCCATGCACTTAGGGGCACATCATCATGTCCCACTGAGCGGCCAGTGTTCAAGATGGTGAGTGCAGCGCACAAGATCCCAGATGAGTCAGCCGACAGCACACAATTATTTGCAAGCAGAAACATCACAATTCTATCAGAATGCTTGAAACAGACACACCAATTCTGTTTCCCTCAATGTAATCCAGTACATCATTGATGAGTACAAAGAATAAGGTGGGTGACAATGGGAGACCTTGCCTTAATCCCTTACAAGAGGGACAGACCCAGTGAGTCTGCCATCATGCAAAGGGTTGTGGAAATCTGGAACTCTCTTCCCCAAAGGCTGTGGATGCTGGATCCATTCAAATTTTCAAGACTGAGATGGATAGATTTTTGTTAGGTAAAGGTATCCAGGGATATGGGGCAAAGGCAGGTAATTGGAGTTGAGGTACAGATTAGCCATGATCTAATAGAATGGTTGAACAGGCTTGCAGTGCTGAATGGCCTACTCCTGTTCCATGTTCTAATCAACATTTATTAACAGGGCTGGCGGAGCTAGAAATACACAGCTCAGTAGTGAAGGCAGGAGTGCAATCACTATGTATTGCACAGTGGGGCAGCAGAGAGTTATTTTCTGAGGGTTGAAGAATGGGTTCATTCAATGCCTGGACCATTGCATTACAAGAAATATATTCTAAAACAATCAAACAATAACTATCAGGGGCACTTACCTTGTGGTAATTGGTCCTTGAACACCGGTCTTCAGCCCGTATTTGGGGCAGATGGAGCTGGTTGCTCAGCAGTTTGCTCCAGTCACCGTCACACTGGGCGAAGTAGTCACACAACTATAAGGCAAAGTGGGGGATGAGCGCATGTGAGCAGCCAAACTGCTGGCGGTGTGAGTGAGAGCCTACAGACAGCCTACAGTGAGAGGCCACAGAGAGTCAGTCAGTCCCTCTTACCTGTTGGAACCGCAGCTCTGCCGCTGTGCTCCGGATCTGCAGCGCCAGTGACTCAGAATCACCAAAGCCTGGAGCTGATCGGGAAATTCTGGCCATAACATCAGCTTTTTGTGTCACATCTTTCACAGGGAAAGTAGCAAAACATCCAAACAGCACCAAGAAAACTTGGCAGAAATCTGCAGACAAAGAGAGACCAGAGGATTATAAACACCAGCTCCTCCAACAACCACTCCCAGACAATTGATAAAAAAGAATTCCTTGTAAAATGTACTGACATTGTACAGATCTCATGTTGAGCGGTTTACAACTGCATGTAATGTGAAGGTGTTTGTAGGCTCACTTTCAGTTATATATTGTGTTGGATTGCAAATTTTCCAATCCCATTTCGGCATCGTCCTCTGGACTCTCACCAATTCTCTACAATTAATTAAGCAGGGTGGCTCCTTGCTGGGAGAGAGAATGCATTCTTCTACAGAAACTAGGAAATTTTCATGTGTAGGTTGGATAACATATATCCATATGCGTGGAGTCCTGTAGCTCAGTGGTTAGAGCACTCGCTTTGCAAGTGAGAGACCTGAGTTCAATTCCAGGCAGAGGGCGAAACCTTACTCCACACGCCTAATAATAATCCCTCCAAAAACAATAATAAATTGGTCATTTTCAATCTACGACTGTTTGTGGGACATTGCTGTGCTCAATTGGCTGCTGCGTTCGCCCAAAAATATACAGTCAATTCACTTTACAGTGTGTTCTGTGAAGCGCTTTGGGACGTCCTCCCGACGTGAAAAGCGCTATATCAAATGCAAGGATTATTATTATTAATATATATGACTCCCACTCAGGTCAGCATACTCATAAAGCATGATGATGGTTTTTCAGAATGTGTCAGTGGCCAAAAAGGAATTTTGCCATCCTTATAGACGTCAAACTATTAATCACAGTTGCATTGTAATACCCCAACTATCAAGTATATATATATATATACATATACAGTAACCTCAGTCATAATTACTGTGGAGTGTAGAAAGAGGGAAATGAAAGAAGCGGAGCGAATACCAGCCCATATGCACATTGATAATTTTCTCGGCTTCCTCTCTTCTGAATGTTTTTGACTTTTTTAATAATAATAACCCTTGCATTTGATATAGTGCTTTTCACGTCTTTGAGATGTGTCAAAGCGCTTCACAGAATAGGCTGTAAAGTGAATTGACTGTATATTTTGGGCGAACGCGGCAGCCAATTGCACACAGCAGTGTCCCACAAACAGTCGTGGATTGAAAATGACCAATTTATTATTATTGTTTTGTTTTTGAGGGATTATTATTAGGCGTATGGGGTAAGGAAACTTGCCCAAGATTTCGCCCTGTTTTCCAGTTTACCAGTTAGCCCCTGGTTCCTTGTCCAAAACATTGTTCATATAGGAGCCAATACAATGAGTTTCAGCAGGATATTTGTCCATGAGAAGCATCACAGTTCAACCTGATGTGGCTCACCTTGCACACATACAAACACATACACACATATGCACACTGGCTCTTATGAACTGAGGTCTCTGGACAGAGAACAAGAACAGGAACCCAGATTGAATTTCCTCTTGCTGAACAAGTGAGGACTTAGCCTAATTCCAGCTGGCACTTTCCAAGTGCACCATGCCTATTGCTCCCACTGGGAGTTATCCAAACCAGACTGAGAATTCCACATATGGATGCCTCCAACACATGGAACATTTCCTGTGTCTGGAATGAAGTGCGTACTGGCTCTACTTATCTAATTCCAGAGAGTATTAGGCACAGGTTGGCAAGAGCCAAGGATTGGGGACTGTAGACCAGCGTGCACTGGGATACTGCTGGAGTGGAATGTAACCAACTAAAAGTGCATAGCTAGCCACAGATAGCACTGTCTGGCAAGCTTCCCACTGCTTGTCCAGCCAAGACCACTCTAACCTTAAGAGCTTTGACTTAAAGAGTTAATACAAACTCAGTGGTGAGCCCTACCAAGTCCTGCTGATGAACCCGGCTGACTGGTCTGTCAACAGCTATACCCTGGAGTACTGCCGACCTGCTTGGCTCAGGAACTGATTACGTCCACCACTGGGGTTGATTCAAGGAGACAATGCTTACCTCCAATACCAGCCCCCCGGCCCATTTTATGGGATCTTATTGCAAAATGCATCAAAGCGTTTGATAGATTACTGTCAAGTATGGAGAGTTTTTTTACAGGCAAAACATGACAGCAATTTGGACCAGTGAGGTCCCATAGACAAACTGCCATGGATGACTAATTAATTTGTAGGATTGCTGGAAAGGAATACCTTCTATTTTTGAAAGCACTGGTTTACAACAACAACAACTTATACTTGTATAGTGCCCTTCACGTTGGAAAGACATCCCAGTGCACTGGACAATGAACTCGGGTTTGGGACCCGAGCTGGGAGTGGGGGTCAGGCGGGGTGGAGGGCAGGGCGCTGGGGGTGGGAAGGTGGCTGAAGGCACGGTTGAAGAGGAAAGTCTTTTGATGGGCTTGAAGGAAACAAGGGAGGGGGTGAGGCAGAGGGATTGCGGGATAGAGTTCCTGAGTGTGGGGGCACAGATGCTGAACGCCCGACCACCAATGGTGGGATGGGAAGTGCGGGGGACCTGAAGCAGGCTGGAGTCCACTGAGCAGAGGGAGCGGAGTGGCTGATATGGGGTTAGGAGGTCGGGGACGTAGAATGGAACAAAATCACGGAGGGCTTTGAAGGTGAGAACAAGGGTTTTGAATTCGATTCTCTGAGGGATGGGGAGCCAGTGAAGCTGGGCAAGGATATCATAATAATAATAATCCTTGCGTTTGATATAGCCCTTTTCACGTCTTCTCGACATCTCAAAGCGCTTCACAGGGTGAAACAAGGCAGCCAATTGCGCACAGCAGTGTCCCACAAACAATCGTGGATTGAAAATGACCAATTTATTATTGTTTTTTTTATTTTGGAGGGATTATTATTAGGCGTGTGGAGTAAGGAAACTTGCCCAAGGTTTCACCCTGCCTGGAATTGAACCCAGGTGTCTCGCTTGCAAGGCGAGTGCTCTAACCACTGAGCTACAGGACTCCACAGGGGTGGGGGTGATTAGTTCGTGGAGCTTGGTGCGGGAAAGGACACGAGCTGCAGAGTTCTGAATAACCTGCAGCTTGTGGAGGAAAGTGTTGGAAAGTCCAGCGAGCAGGCAGTTGGCATAGACAGTAATTAGTTTAATATCTCATCCGCAAGGATGACAATGTGGGCTCTTCCAATAGCGTACAAGGTTGTGAGCCAGGACTTGGAGTTCCAGTCCCAGGGTGGTGCTTGGACCCACAACCTTCTGACTCAGAGCTTAGAGTGCTACCAAATGAGCCACAATGAAAGCTGAGTGAGTAAAGTATTTGAAAACAAATCAAAAAAGGTCAGCATGTAGGCTCTGGAACAGGAGACTTAAAATGCAATATAATTTATTGAAACTCATTTAAATTTGATTCCGGCAGCAATAATTTGGAAGATATGGGAGAAATACATTATAAAATTGGGTCAGGACTTAACAACAGTTAACTCATGGTTTCATTAAATATATAATTATTAATTTAACATATTATAAATAGCCAACTTCATTATATTATTTGTAGTTTCACAAAACTGAACCGAAATTCATTTTCTTGGTTCTGAATATAGAACAGCATCGACATCCACCGCAGAAGCAGATTTTATCCAGGAACATGTTTGAACTAAAACATTCATACATTGAAGTTGTTGCTGTTATTATTACACAGCTCCAGGGATCGATTTCATGAATCGAATGGCTCGAACCGTGCTCTCCATGAAGAAAGCAAATTTTCTGAGGATCACGTGAACTCTCACTTGCCTATCCCATTCTGTTTGCAAAGACATGTCCGGGTTCAAAGCCTCCTGGTTACTTTCATCCCACTGAGGAATTCTTCTACGAGTCTTTCTCTTGAAACAAAGAAACACAAAACAATATTTAGTGGTGAATGATAAGTGTCAATCTAAAAAAAAAGCACAATAAAATAAAAAACAGCTGTACAGAGTGGCCTGTCTGCCCTGAGATGTACATTAGTTATATATACATTTAAGTGAAAGATATAAGTAAAAGGTGTGATTTTAGTAATAGAACTAAATTGTATAACACATAGAACCAAAGAAAATTACAACACTGTAGGATGATCCACTGTATAACGTGTCAGTATTTGTTCTTCCAATGAATCCATCTATCCTAATCCTAATTCGCTGCCAATGTAAAGTGTATGGTATATTGATCCATAAATAATTGCTCATGTCTGAAACTCCTGAGTTCGAAGATAGATCATCGATCTATCTTAGTGTGTAGGTGAATGTTTTTTTAATTTATAATCTGAACAGAATACAATTCTGAAGAGAATGCTTGTGTGTAGAAACCTGTTCCAGCTTGAGCTGTTTTGCACTGATCACCTACTGCAGTGTTTCTGAATAACTAGTCTGTGAAGACTCGTGCTCGTGTTATTCTCAATGACTGGTGTGCGAGGGGTATTGCTAGTCTTTGATAACCTCCATTGGCTAGTCCACACTGGAGATCTTTTTAGATTGAATAATTGGACAGGCTCATTTAATAATAATAATAATAATCCTTGCATTTGATATAGCGCTTTTCACGTCAGGAGGACGTCCCAAAGCGCTTCACAGAACACACTGTAAAGTGAATTGATTGTATATTTGTGGGCGAACGCGGCAGCCAATTGCGCACAGCAATGTCCCACAAAAAGTCGTGGATTGAAAATGACCAATTTATTGTTGTTTTTGGTGGGATTATTATTTGGCGTGTGGAGTAAGGAAACTTGCCCATGGTTTCGCCCTGCCTGGAATTGAACTCAGGTCTCTTGCTTGCAAAGCGAGTGCTCTAACCACTGAGCTACAGGACCACTCTCAATGGTCTGACATATTTTAAGAAGAAACTGAGCTGGTCCCTGATATATATATAAAATAGAGTGACCAGAGGTTGTGTTCTGTGCAATAATTACCTCCAGTGGGAGGAAGTCAGACAGAAGCTTCATGCTGTTCAGCATTATATCCACTTGCTGCTTTTCATCATTGATCCATTGGTTCACAAACTTCAGATATTTTTTGTATTCCTGAAATCCTTTGATGATCTTTGAGAAACATTTTTCCTGCAAACAACGTGTATTTTCAACATGACTTCAGATATTGACATATGCAATGGGTGAACTCTTTTATGCAAATTCTATTATTCAAACAATTATTAATCTCTGAATTATTAAATAGACATTTTTTCACACCCTGTGTGTAAAAGACAAATTTTAAGATTACCGCGGTGCTTGCATTGTCACTGTTGCATTGCCAAGTTCAGTCATAATTTGAAAGTCAGTTCATTTTAAGAACTACAAAACTGGTTTCAAAATTAAGACTGAAATTTTGAATTTTTCAAACATTCTGTGCATTATTAAACTTTAAGACAAAATAGATTTCAGACTAAGACTGATAATATCAATTGGTAAATAAATGTAATAAAAGTTGATGTAACGATTGTTGGAGATTAATGTTAGTTTTCACCAGCATGTAGCGACTGTTACACATGTAGTTAAATGCCTCACCTTCCGGAATCTCCTCTGGAAACACTTGTCCTCTTTTCTAATCTGAGGCAGCTCCATGGGAGGCAACAGCAGCAGAGAGCTCATATTCCGGTCAGACAGGGAAAAAAAATCATGCAACTGGAAGAAAAGTACACTTTACTAACTTTTGTGTCTGTCTGCTCAGTTGGTAATGTTCTTGCCTCTGAGTCAGAAGATTGTGGAACGAAGCCCCATGTCGGGACTTCATAGTCTTAGTTGATGGCAGGCTGGTAGCTAGGACTAGAGTGAGCTCAGCCCCCCCCACCACCCCAAATCTGTCTACCAGCTCAACAACTTTTCTCCAGTTTTGGCTAAAGGGATGTTGTGGCGCTCTCTCTGAGTTGTGTAACGAGACGTGAAGTAAAGTGAGTGTCGTCAATGAGCTCAGTGAGCAGGAGTTGGATCTCATGCCGGGACACACACACAACTAGAGACACACACACATTTTCCAGTCTTCAACAAAGCGCAGTTAGGATGTATGAGGTGAACATGGCTCAGCTCAGCACCCCCAAAGAATATTTTCACCCACCGACTATGCGGGTGATACTCTAATGGAGTGCTAAGGAAGTTCTGAATTGGCACAGATACTATCAATTGGATGAGATGTGAAACTGAGGTCCTGTCTGTGTCTTTAGGTAGATGTTGGATGGTAGATCTCACGGCACTATTCAAAAAGAGAATTTCTCCTGGTGTCATGACCAGCAAACCCCCAGATTAAACAGTTACCTGGTCATTCACTTTATGGCTATTTGTTGGACAATGCTTTGTGCAAATGGCCTGAAGACAGTCACTGCACTTTACAGAAAACTTTGTGAAATGATTGGGGTCATTTCAACAGAATTAAGTGCTACATGAAATATAGTGATTATTATCGTTATTATTAGATTTCTAATGGCTTCCAAAATTCCTGTCATTAATATTTAAGATTTCCAGTGTGTTCTAATAATTCAATTGTATTCAATTTGCAGTAATACAAACTGATAATTTAACATTTAACACAGTAATTAGTTTTTCCTATTTCCTCTACAGTACTGCAGCTTTTGACTAAGCCTGTTTTAATTGTAGTTTAAAGTTTCATAGTTCAGACTTACTTGTTTTTTGTGCAGTTCAGTGGCAATACTCTGGATAAACAGAGCCAGAGATTCCAAATTCTCATTTCCAGAAGGAAAGCTCAATCCAGCATTTCCAGAGAAGTCCACAGAGACTTCTGAGGAGTCAGGCAGGGGGGAAGCAGCGGCTCCAGGCAGGAAGGTTCCCAGGCTCAGCATCAACACCAGGGCAATCTGGCAAAGGGCTGGAAAGAAACACAAGGAGAGTCAGTCAGTGGCAAATGTCTGTTCAGAGAGGCTGGGCTGTAAAGATTAGACATTGGTGGTTAATACTAACATGGTAAAGAGGGCATGGCTGAGAATTAGCAAGTAGTCTGTCTGTCTGTCTGTCTGTCTCAGGACCGTCTCTGATGGTGTCCAAGAAAGAGTTTGGTCTCCACAGGGCATCCTGGCTATTTATTTTGTTGGGGATCGCTCTCTGGCTTTCCCGGTGGAAACCCCTTTAAATCGTGGTCTCTATTTCACCAGCTTGTTTAAAAATAAGAACAAGAAAAACACGTAAGGTCTACATGATAGGCCAGCCCAGTATTACAAAGCTCATATTAATAGTTTCCCCAAGATTTCACCAGGAGTTTGATAAAGAAACTAGGAGAAAACTTCCCCATCAGAGTGAAAGTGCTGTGTTTGTGAAAACTTATCTAAGTCAATATTTAATTAATGTGATTTACGGTGATACTGTATGTAAAAAGGAAATTTAACTTGTTGTAAGGGTGAGTGTGAATGAACTTTTTAGTCCCCATATCCCCTCCATTCAGAATTGGACAGTTCAGTCAGACACCATGTCTTCCTCAATAGTGGAATAAGTTGTTTCTTTTAAGTGATTCCTGTAAATAACTGATTAAAATACACATATCTGTATTTGGTAATGTTAGTGCATTGATTTTAAGAGCTGTATCTCTTCAGCCTTGAAAAGGGTCGTCTCAGAGGAGTCCTTATAGAGGTATATTCAATACTAAACTAGATTGAGAGAGCAAATCAAGAATAATTCATTCAGATGTGCTAAGGTAACAGTATGAGAAGGCATAGGTTCAGGTTATGAAGGGAAGTTCTAGGATAGACACCAGAAATTATTTTCTTACACAAAGGTAACAGCTGGAAGAGGTTACCAGAAAGGGTTGTTGAGGTTAGTACAGTAAACATATTTAAAAATCAGTTTCCTGCTGCAATGGGAAGATGATAAATAGTTCTAGAAGGATGTCAAATAATCCTTGCATTTTGATATAGCGCTTTTCACATCTTCTAGACATCTCAAAGCGTTTCACAGAATATACTGTAAAGTGAATTGACTGTATATTTGTAGGCAAAATACGGCAGCTAAGTTGCGCACAGCAGTGTCCCACAAACAGACAAACAGTCGTGGATTCAAGTGACCAATTTATTATTGGTTTTTTTCTTAAGGGATTATTATTAGGCGTGTGGAGTAAGGAAACTTGCCCAAGGTATCGCCCTGCTGGGAATTGAACCTGAGTGTCTTGCTTGAGAGGCGAGTGCTCACCTCTCGGCTGGACTATTCTAACGCCCTCCTCGCCGGCCTCCCCTCCACTATCATCCACAAAATCCAGATTATTCAAAACTCTGCCGCCCGCATTCTCACCCGCACCAAACTCCGCTCCCCGATTACCCCAGTCCTTGCCAGACTGCACTGGCTGCCTATCCCAGAGAGGATCGACTTCAAGATCCTCACCCTTATCTTCAAATCCCTCCACTCCTCTGCACCCCCCCTACCTCTCTGATCTCCTCGCTCCTCAAAACAGTGCCCGCTGTCTTCGTTCCTCCGGGTCTGGCCTCCTCCTTGTCCCCCGATCCTCCGCTCCACCCTCAGCGGCCGTGCCTTCAGCCACTACGCCCCGAGGCTCTGGAACTCCCTTCCTCACTCGCTTCGCCTCGCTCCCCCTCTTCCTATTTTCAGGTCTCTGCTGAAAACCTTTCTTTTCGACTGCGCCTTTGGTCACCTTCCCACCCCTCCCCCTGGCTCAGCCCCGGGATCCGTTACTGTGAAGCGCTCTGAGACGTCGTCCGGCATGGAGGGCGCTACATAAATCCAAGTTGTTGTTGTTACCACTGAGCTACAGGACTCCATGACCAAAGGACCTTATAATAATAATAATCCTTGCATTTGATATATTGTCATGTTTAGTCATGGTAGCTCATACAATTGTTAGTGAGTTGAAGTGGTGCACTGATAGCAGTGAAGGGGAGATTGACCGAGGTTGCTCAGGTCATTTGTCTTGATGGAAAGGAATATACAGTATCTGAAAGAAGGAGCTTCACCTAAATGAGAAACTGGGTGGAGATGAGATGGGCACAATAAGACAGGTTTCACTTGAAATGTGCAATCCCTGAAGCATTCAAACCTATGTTTTTTGTAGATTTGTACAGAGAGATGAAACCTCTCAGTTGAATCGGGTTAAATGGTTTGCCAAGAAATGCACTGATTGGATCTGGATTCCTATGGAAATATATCCACAGCTTACTGTGAGCAAAATGAAATGGACCACTTGTCCAAACAAAAATCTTATACAGAGCAATTCAATGTCTAAAATGTGTTTATTCGTCTAGCATTTCTTTTGTTCTTATGTTCTTATGAATTCCCTCAAAAGTTATATTAAAGGACAGTTTACCTTCATTCTTACAAAAAAATTAAATACCCCACAAAAGTCCAATTACTACAGTTTATAGTGACTCATATGAAGCTACTGGAAAAGCGCTGTATCAAATGCAAGCACTGTTATTTAGTAAATACAAAAACTTGTGCTAAACCTAATCTCAAAAGTGATGATTTAGATTTAGATAAACTGTACCTATATAATCAGAATTCAGTTATATTCCACTATATATAAGAACATAAGAACATAAAAAATGCTAGACAAAGAAAAAAATAGTTCGCCTTCCACCCTTCTGGCGGTCGCATGCACATTTGTCCCAAACTACCTGTGTACTGTATCCCATAATGTTATTTCTTAAAAGAAAACTATCTAATTTGTGTCCCTCCCTTCCCTCCCCTCACCCTGACCATTTCCCCCCTGTTCGGGTCCTGACCCAACTGTACAGCGCCTCGGGACGTCCTCCCGACGTGAAAGGCGCTCTATAAATGGAATCTTGTTGTTGTTGTTGTTGAAAGAATCAACGCATCCTGCTTCAACGGTCTCTCTAGGGAGCCTGTTCCACAGGTTCACTATTCGCTCACTGAAATAGTGTTTGCGTAGATTAATTCTAAATTTACCCCCGTAAATGCATAGATTTATTCTGAAATTCCTTCCCGGATACCCATCAATTCCAGTGATAGTGTTTGCTCTTACGATAACCACCTCTCTCTCTTACAGAGAGATTACGAATGCAAATTCCTCTTTAATGTCATTTTAACTGTTTACGGCAATGTTTACAACTGTTTACAAGCAAAGCAGACAGAAATATTTAATGTTTGTACCAGAAATGTAAATTGAACTGAGACGGGAAAACTATCTAATCTGTCTTTGGTTGTAATTCAGGTACAATACTAATTAATGCAGTGCTGTGTACGCCATTGGGAATTCCTACATAGTGAAACATTAGTATCAACTGTGGTCAGTAACTGTAAGCAGATTGGGCAAGAGAGTCTGTACATTTCTCATGCTGTCAAGGAACATTACCGGAACACAGACAGACACCAAAGGAACAGGAGGTGATGCAGGAAGTAGCACTGTGATTGATTCAGAACAACGTTAACTGCTCTCTTAAAGAGATTTTATTACCAGGTTCTTTCTCCTCTTATTTTAGTGACTTTTTTTTTCTATTTTAAAGCAGTTCTGTATAGAGTTTGAGGATTCAATTAGAGCAGTCATGGTTTAACGCAAATAACTCAGCATGTCTGTCCCAACTTCCTGTGATTCAACGGGAGGGACCTCAGTTTCATGTTTCTGGAGTTTCTTTTGAGGCATTAGTGGCTTTCATCAAGCTATTACAATGGCAGGCAGAATCCTTCCCACTTACACATTCCCAGTTTGTGTTGTGCTCTGTGTTGTTTTAATTTACAATTCGGACACAAATATTAAAACGTTAAATATTTCTGTTCTATCTGCTCTGATTACAAACTACCTTCATTTTCTCACAAACTTCCTGATATGGTGCTAGCCTGGCTCAGTTGGTAGAGCTCTTGCCTCTGAGTCAGAAGATTGCAAGACCTAGTCTCATATTGGGACTTGGAGCTCACAGTAGGCTGACACTCCAGTGCAGGACTGCATTGCTGGAGGTGCCGCCTTTTGGATGAAACATGAAACTGAGACCCGTCTGTTTGTTCAGATGCAAATTAAAGATTACATGGCTCTACTTGAAAAGAGAAGGGAGTTTCTCCTGTTGTCCTGGCCAACAATCTCTCAGTTATTAATAATAAGAATAAGAATAGATCATTCACTGTCTGGCTATGTGATATGCCAAATTAGCGGGTGTGTTTAGTTGACATAAGGAGTGCTCTGCACTGTTCGGTGAGAGGATAGAGAACTCACTGAGTTGCGTTAGCTTTACATTGTGTAAGCCTGGCATTAAACCTAATCCCTCACAAGATCGTATGACTCTCTTGTTGCTCCTGAAAACGAGAACATTAATGAGGGAATAATTCGAAATATGTATAAGTTATAAAAAAGGACAGTACTTTGGTTAGCTTTGTCTGCAGTACAAGCAAAATGGACAGGAAATCTGTGACTCATCTGCAGTGATGTTTGGGGGCAATTCTATTCTGAGTTGCACTGAAAGTCACTGTGTTTGTACTTGCAGATAAAGTGCAAGTATCTACAAAAGAGAAAACTTGCAAGCATTATTATATCATTGTCTATTATTTTACCGGATCATGTATTTCACCCAAGTTAGTAAAATCCAAGCTGGTGCATTTTATTAACAGTTCACATGGTGTCCGATTGCCATTTGTTAAACTTGAATTGTGATAGTCAGAAAGAGTGCAGTGGGTGTGTGTGTGTGTGCGGTGGGGGGGGGGTTGAAACACAGAGGGTGAGCATAGATCAGACTTCACTTTACTATTGCAAACCTCTGCTACAATTGCCATTTGTAAATGTATGTGTCTGTTTTGGAAGGCTGATGTTTGCAGATGTGTGGGAATGAGTAAGGATTATTATTATTATTCAGATATTATTATTTTAGATATCTATCCGGTTCTTTCTTGAAGGCTTATATGGCTCACAACCATTACCTAAAACGTGATGCGCTTGAATGGACTGTGATGGGTTTTGTTTGCAAAGAACAAGTAGAAATGTTCATAAAATAAATGAATGAATAAATAAAATAAAAATAAACAAGTAAACAA